TGTCAGCAACATTTTCTTGGCTGTCATCAGATAATCCAGAGTACTAATGATAAAACAATGTTTTTGACTGCTGCTGAAGTCAGCTGTGCCCTCATATGAGACCTGGCTGGCTTTCTAAAGTGTCGCGGAAACTTTGTGGTTGGAGAGAGAGGTATAATCTTCACCTCATCTTTGGAGAAGCTCCTTGCCATGTCACTCAGGTTTTTTGCTTGTTCCTTTGGCCTTTTTATGTGTTAATTAAGAAATATACGGAGCAGCAGCTTTTCTTCCATTGAACCAAATGCCTATAGTAAGTGTGTCACCAAATGCCAGTAAGGGAGAATATCGGAAAGTCCACTTTTCACATTAGAGCCCAGGGTGAATGAACTTGTGAAGGAGGTTAGGATTTGACATTCCAGCTCCACTCTCAACTTCAGTGTACAGTGGTACCTCGGGTTAAGTACTTAATTCGTTCCAGAGGTCCGTTCTTAACCTGAAACTGTTCTTAACCTGAAGCACCACTTTAGCTAATGGGGCCTCCTGCTGCCACTGCGCTGCCGGAGCACGATTTCTGTTCTCATCCTGAAGCAAAGTTCTTAACCTGAGGGTTAGCGGAGTGTGTAACAGTGTGTAATGTCTGGGTTAGCGGAGTGTGTAACCTGAAGCCTATGTAACCTGAACCGTATGTAACCCGAGGTACCACTGTACTCTTCTGAACCTGCTGTACACAGAGCCTAGGCCAGGGGCTGGCAACCTAGGGCCCATGGGCCACAAGCGGCCCATGGGAGTCATTTAACTGGCCCATGGACCCCCGCCGCCCACTCTGTCAGCTCCTGTGCGCTGTGCTAAACTGGCACAGAGCAGAGAGGGTACCGCTTTCCACGACGCTGGCCAGCTTGCCATTGGCTGCAGGAAGCTCCTGCAGCCAGTGGGAAGCTGCGTACGTCTCCTCCGCGCCGGAAGGATCACCAGAAATAGTGTTTGCGCATTCGTGCACGTGTGAACAGGCCCAAGCCACAACAACTTTGCCAACCCCTGGACTAGGCAGGTTGCAGGAGCAGGCTCTATTGCTACCATCTAGATCAGGCATAGGCAAACTCGGCCCTCCAGATGTTTTGAGACTACAATTCCCATCATCCCTGACCACTGGTCCTGTTAGCTAGGGATGATGGGAGTTGTAGTCCCAAAACATCTGGAGGGCCGAGTTTGCCTATGCCTGATCTAGATCCTGGGTTTTTTCGAATACCATACTATTTGAACATAGCTGACCTCTGTTGGTTTGCCCTGGTTTCTTGCCTGAATAGGTCTAAAGCGTTGGACTGGGGATGCAGGTTCAGATCAACCACTGGCCACTATTTTTCAGTCTAACCCAACTCATGGAATTGTTGGCGTTCTATCATGTATTTGTGTGTAGGTGATGGAGACCATATATAATGGTTGGGGCTCCTTGGAGGAAGGGCAGAATAATAAAAAAGTCATATGTTAACTTCGGTATTATGTCAAGAGAGACTTACTGGATCAGAACAAATGTCCGTCTAGTTCCCCATCTTGCTTTGTGCAGTGGCGAAATAAATGCCTCCATGGAATAACACTTGTAGTTTAATGGTGAATTTGGCTCATAATGGAGATGTAAAAGATTTGGATAAGTATAAAAGATGCAGGAGGAAATGACTAACAATAGGACCCACAAAGGGGAGGAGATTCTTTTGAATCTTGTTTTTATGATGTATGTTGGATATGTGATTGCAAAAATCTGAAAACCAAATAAATAAATTTATATGTATATAAAAGAAATAAATGCCTCCAAGCCTTCTGTATGAAAATGCTCCTATGGGGAGTGCCATCAGGCAGGGCATGAAGGCATTCCAAGCCCATTGAGGGGTGGTGTCTATTATTACCTATCTGCAAAATTGCTTTCTGGTTCATTACGCAACAGCGTTAGAAGATGTGTTGTGGGGCTCAGTTATTTTGAGGAAACCCAGAGATGAGAGTTAATGGTTTGTATGTGGTAGCGATCATGATGCAAAGTGTTCCACGGATTATTGTACCCAGGAAAGCAGCAATGAGGGGTGCTGTGTAAGGAAGCACTTTGCTTTGCAAAAGTTGCATGTCTTGGTTGAAAGTTTAATAATAATAATAATAATAATAATAATAATAATAATATTAACAACAACAACAACAACAATAATTTATTATTTGTACCCCACCCATCTGGCTGTGTTTCCCCAACCCTCTCTGGGTGCCTTCCAACAAAGATTAAAAATACATTAAAATGTCACACATTAAAAACGTCCCTGAACAGGGCTGCTTTCAGATGTCTTCTAAATATGAGGTAGTTGTTTATCTCTTTGACATCTGATGGGGGATCATTCCACAGGGCGGGCACCACTACCGAGAAAGCCCTCTGCCTGGTTCCCTGTAGTTTTGGTTCTCGCAATGAGGGAACCGCCAGAAGGCCATCGGCGCTGGACCTCAGCGTCCGGGCAGAACAATGGGGGTGGAGATGCTCCTTTAGGTATAGTGGGTCGAGGCTGTTTTGTTACAATCGTGTGCGCATAGCTTTTATAAAGTTTGCAAACGTTACAGACTTAAATCCGGGGATGGCTAACTTTCATCATCGGTTACTCCTCCAGGACCCACCTACCAGCTGTGTGTGTGGCCATGCCACAATCTTGCAGGCACACACAAACATCCCCCATAGCTCATTTCTGCAGATCAGCAATTGGCGGGGGGGGGGGGCATTTAAGTCTCTCTGCAGTGTTGTCCTATTTAGTTTTTTCTACTTCTTGCCACTGCCACCGAAATAATAATCAATTATTGGAATTTGTAAAATTGTGCCTAGCCATTATATTGCTGCTGGCTTGTTAATGTTTCTGGATTCTTTTATGTGCTGTGGCTTATGAGTGCCTAAGGTGCATGTTCCATGTAGATTTTGTTAGGTAAGGTAAGCGTAAAGGACCCCTGGACTGTCAAGTCCAGTCAAAGGCAACTATGGAGTTGCGGCACTCATCTCCCTTTCAGGCCGAGGGAACTGGTGTTTGTCCACAGACAGCTTTCTGGGTCACGTGGCCAGCATGACTAAATTGCTTCTGGCCCAACGGAACACCGTGATGGAAACCAGAGCGCATGGAAATGCCGTTTACCTTCCCCCCACAGCAGTACCTATTTATCTACTTGCACTGGTGTGCTTTTGAACTTCTAGGTTGGCAGAAGCTGGGACCAAGCAACAGGGATTCGAACCTCCGACCTTCTGATCGGCAAGCCCAAGAGGCTCAGTGGTTTAGACCACAGCACCACCTGCACCCCTATGATTTTATTAACACATTAAGTGCATGATTATTCCAGGATCACCGAATAGTGAGGAGTTACTCCTTTACTGCCTCCAGCTTCACTTTGTTGCATTTACTTTCGTACCGTCCACTCTACCTATACATAATGTTTAGATCTGTCCTGTATTACCATTTTGTTAGTTACACTGCTCGCAATTTATGCCACTGCGTGTCTTAATACTTCACTACTTTCTCAACACACATCTTCCTTCTTAATAACTTTTAATGTAATTAGCCATGCGGCAGATTAAAGCCAAGCAAGAGAGATGATAACCCTACGAGCGAAACTCCAGGACTGGACAGAGAGAAAATGAGGTCGATCCTGATGACACTTCAAAGTTCAATTGTGCCAGAGGTTTTAAAACACAGGGAGATAGGAAAGCCAGCATGGTTAAAAAAATTATTTGCAGAAGTTCAGCCGTTGACCTTCTCCATTATAAAAATAATTGGGATCAGATCCTTGGTGTTCGTCTTATCCATTTTGTGACTGTGTTTCAGGGCAGCGTCCTCTATTTCTTTTGCCTTGGATTTTGCACATGTACTGCTGTGTTGTTTCAGCCGATACTTTTTTCTGCAGTGGATGCAATGTAATGTTTGGGGATGGTAGAGCTACCTAGTCCTAAACCTTAGAATGTTCCTGGGAAAGTTGCTTTATCAGGCCCCATTCAGGCTTACTGTGAATGGTGCAGAACTGATTCCTGATTATCCTTCGCCTGCTGCTTCAGTTGGTATTAGAATATGAGAGCTCTACGGATTGGAAACAGTTGCGGCACTCTTCCTCCTGGTTGCTGTTCTGCCCAGAAAGGAGTGCAATGGTCAGGGAGACAGAAATTGTGTGTTTGGTCCTATTCGCAAAATTTTGTAGTAACATTCTTCCGTGGAGCCACAGAAGAAGCCATCAGTAGGGAAGTGGCTCTGGAGTGCTAGCCTTAAGTGTCAACAGAGCTCTTAAGTGTCATTGTCCAAGCATTACTGTCATGAAGACAGGTACTTCATAAACCATATGCTTACTGTATAGATTAAACACTGCAATATATATACATACTTTATATGTGTTCCTGGTCACTCGCAACTGCCTAACCTGTTCCTAAAAGTGAACTCCAACATTTAAAGGTTTGCAGGGGCTTTCCCACTGAATTTGAACCAGAGGATGATTGCAATGATATATGCAATGCTGTAAATTTCAGTCAAGTTGGGAGGAAAAATCTCTAGGTTTGTGTCCTCCCACATTACCTTCAAATTGGTCTTGGGTTATTCACCATTTGTTCAAAGCTTTTATGAAGCTTTCACATGAAGTCTGTTCATGAAGCATGGAAAACGAGCAAACTGTCCTTTTGATTCCTGCATGAAACAAGCCTTATTGACCAAGTAAAAATGTGGAATTCAGGCTATTAGTCTGAAATGCTTTCTTCAAAAATCATTATAATCAGCTAAAAAGACTTGGGGTGTGTGTGTTTTTTCGTTCATTGTCCCTGGTATATGAGGCTAAAACCCATGGTTTGGTAATGTTTGTGCTTAGGGGAATTTATTAGCCATAAGCATCATGCTTAAGATGCTACGGTTTTGCAAAGTTCACTTATCGTTTACTCTTCCTCTGCATCAATAAAAGGATGTCTTTAGATTTTCTCACCTCCTTCAGTATTCTAGTAGACCTTTATGATTAACTCTTTTCATTTTAAATTTCCCTCTCAGATATTGACGGACTCCCAGTCAGATGCTTCGCTACGGACTCCTTGCCTCCTTTCGCCTGGTGGTAGAATACAAGCTAGTCACCGTGGGAAGCCAGGAACTGCTCCAGGCATTAGATTTGAGACCGGACTGCCGAACAACGTGATATCTCACTGCTTTCTCCAACCGGACTGCGATGGAGACTCTGTCCCAGGACATTCTGCTGGAATGTCAGATTTGTTTCAATTACTACAGCCCCCGGCGGAGGCCCAAGTTGCTGGACTGCAAGCATACCTGCTGCTCTGTTTGCCTTCAGCAGATGAGGACCAGCCAGAAAGACTTGCGGTGCCCCTGGTGCCGAGGCATCACTAAACTGCCGCCGGGCTTTTCCGTCTCCCAGCTGCCCGACGACCCAGAGGTCATTGCCGTGATTGCGATACCCCACACTTCAGAGCACACTCCCGTCTTCATCAAACTTCCCAGCAATAGCTGCTACATGCTGCCCTTGCCAATCTCCAAGGAGAGGTCCCTCTTGCCAGGAGACATTGGCTGCCGCCTGCTGCCAGGCAGCCAGCAGAAGTCTCTCACTGTGGTGACAATCCCAGCCGAGCAGCAGCCCTTGCAGTCCGGCCTCCCTCAGGAGGGAGGCGACGAAGATCAAGACAGGAGGGGCATTGCGAAAAGCTCCACCTGGTCGGGGGTTTGCACCGTCATCCTGGTGGCCTGCGTCCTGGTTTTCCTCCTTGGGATTGTCCTACACAACATGTCGTGCATTTCCAAGCGTTTCACTGTGATCTCCTGCGGCTGAAAGGAAGCGGCAAATACCCACGCGGGCCAATTTTGGGGGTTTGGGAGGGTGGTTATGGTGGTGGCAGGATGCCGTGAGATGAAGCGCCTCGTTCCACCGTACTGAGTCATTGACACCAGGCTGGTTGCTGGTCCAGAGTCTACTTTAAAAGGAAAAACAAATGACAGTGGCACCTGTAGGTAGAGTATGGGAAACGTCCAATGCTTATCCGCTGGTAACAGTACCAAGGAAGACTGCATGCATCACCATAATCACTTAACAAATGAGCTGTAATTTATAATGATTTCATCATGTTACGAGATTAAAGATGTCTATTTAGCTGGTTCTACTATACTGATATAGGACATAATCTCTCCCTTTCTCTCTGTCTCTCTTTAACAGAGTAGTCAACTTACAAATCAAAATGCTGTACGTTCAAGTAGAATTAAACACTGGCATTTGGAAAGGCAAGCTACCCAGTGCTTTTCCAGACGTAGCGAAAACCGTAACTCTTCTCTCTTTAAGCAGCAACGGAGAAACTTGTGAAAAGTTAAAAAAAAAAGTCATTTAGTCAACAAGGCTTCTTTTTGTATCTTTTAAATTGCACATTAATTGCAACGGTTTTAAAAAAATCTGTACCATAGTTATAGAAAGAGAACATTTTTCTAAAGCGTTGGAAGTATTTTGGATGTAATCTATATCTGTGTGTTTATGCGCATTCTGTTTTTCTTCTGTAGTTTTAAGTGATTTCCTCCCCCTCTCGTTTAAATTGAAATGGGACACAAAAAGAAAGAAGCAATAAAGGGAACCAGGAAGGATATACAGCTGTCCAGCCAAACTGTTTGTCTGTATGCTGCCTTCTGCAAAACGCAACTTTAAAAATGTAAATCTTGGGCATGTGGTTTCATGCGCACACAGTAAATATATTTGTCAAGAACCTCGGCTGCGGAAACTAGTGGAGATGGCCTAATCTGAGATAAAGGCTGATCTTTGTACGCGAGTGGCATACTGAATGGTTTCCTACCCTTTGAATACAAGCCGGAGGTACATCGCCAAAGGAGCCGTAATCTAGGTTTTATTCATCATTGCAAGTGTGAGATACAAATGAAGGCTATATGGCCGTGATACAGAATGCACAAATGCACCAGCAGTGTGGCCCTCCTTGCCCTCAAAGGTGTTCACAGGGCGGAAATGTTACAATTGCAGAAAGGAAGTGGGGGGAGAATAGGGGAAGATGGGTGAAGTGGCTGGGGACCCAGGTCAAGAAAAACGTCAGAAAAAGTGACTATCTCCTAAAGGCAATTGTGGCGAGAGAAGTTGTCCCCCCCCTTTTAAAACTCAGTCGATGTGGACTGCCAAGATGAGTTGACCCAGGAACTCCTTTCTGCGATTCACCAATAACTTTGCCAGCCATTGGCAAAAATGTAGTGTTTCTGTAAGAGGGGGTTGAGGGGATATGGTTTTGGAAACTCGGTGGCATTTGAGCTGCTCAATCATGTTGAGAAAAGGCATGAAACTTGCTTCTGTGTTAGACTGTTCAGGCAGCCAGGAGTACTCCGGGGTTTGTTGATCTTGCTATCCTGAAGGCGTAATCCCTGTGTATACAGAAAAGGAGTCCCAGGGTACTTTAGCTGATTTTTATCAGGGCATGTCTGCTTGCTGGGGATTACGAAGCCTGCCCAAGAAAAAGATCGTATTGCTGTTTGTGCGGCTGCTTCTCTTGAGGCAAAACAGAGGAGAGTCTGCATTCTGTGAAGTGGGAACCATAAATTAACTCCTGGGAACCCACGGTTCTGAAAGTGACACACAGGCCTTCCCTATACAGGCATGAGCTGATGCACATGGAAGAGCTTTTCCTTCCTAAAATCCCAATTTTTGTATACAAGGAAGTGGACTCTTGACACATTCTCTGTTTCCCCCAAAATAAGTATAGTGCTAGCAGTTGCAGACTGGGCCACGTGTAATATGTTAATAGAAGCCATTGAATTGACCCCCCCTTTTGCCCCCCACCACAGATGTTTGTTCCTTTGTGATCCATTTTTTAAATATACTTCATGGCTCCTGCTTTCACCATCCTTTGTGTCATTCCATGTTCCTTGGATTCCAAATGACTTGGTACTCGGACGTTTTTACTCCCAAACACCACAAACCTGGAAGTGACTGTTCTGGTTTACGAACGTTCTTTGGAACCCGAACATCCGTCGGGGCTTCTGCGGCTTCTGATTGGCTGCAGGAGCTTCCTGCAGCCAATCAGAAGCCGCGCTTTGGTTTCCGAACATTTTGGAAGTCGAACGGACTCCCAGAACGCATTCTGTTCGACTTCCAAGGTATGACTGTATAAGCTTTTCCCATGGAGTAATCTTACTTGTGTTACTCTAGAGGAGGCTCAAACAGATTGGTTTCCCCCAACTTTGAATCAGCCTAGGCAATTGGAAGAATCGCATGGTACCGTTCTCATTGGGCTCAGGACACTTAGTGAGGGATCAGGTCTTTTGGGGGATCACACATCTCATTCAGTAAACAACTTGCCCGTAACCAGCCTCAGTTGCCATAATAATAATAATAATAATAATAATAATAATACAGTGGTGCCCCACAAGACGAATGCCTCGCAAGACGAAAAACCCGCTAGACGAAAGGGTTTTCCATTGCGGAGGCGCTTCGCAAAACGAATTTCCCTATGGGCTTGCTTCGCAAGACAAAAACGTCTTGCAAGTCTCGCCATTTCCCCCCCCGCTCCCCCCTTTTTTCGAAGCCGCTAAGCCGTTAATAGCCTTTTAACCACTTAGCCGCTAAGCCTTTAATAGCCGCTAAATCGCTAATAGCGCTAATCCGCTTAGCCGCTAATGGGGTTGCTTCGCAAGACGAAAAAACCGCTAGACGAAGAGAATCGCGGAACGGATTCTTTTCGTCTTGCGAGGCACCACTGTAATTTATTATTTATACCCCACCCATCTGGCTGGGTTTCCCCAGCCACTCTGGGCGACTTCCAACAGAATATTAAAATACAATAGTCTATTAAACATTAAAAGCATCCCTAAACAGGGCTGCCTTCAGATGTCTTCTAAAAGTCGAATAGTTGTTTATTTCCTTGACATCCGATGGGAGTGCATTTCACAGGACGGGTGCCACTACTGAGAAGGCCGTCTGCCTGGTTCCCTGTAACTTGGCTTCTCGCAGCGAGGGAACCACCAGAAGGCCCTCGGCACTGGACCTCAGTGTCTGGGCAGAACAATGGGGGTGGAGACCTTTTGCTCTCCCAACACTTCCCTGGCTATTCTCCCTTTCTATTCACCCCACTAACCATGTAAGCAATACAGCTCTCATAAGCCCCAGCCAGAGCGGCCAAGCCCCAAACCAGTCTAGCTATATGAAGCTGATTTCACAAGGACGGCTTGACATTAAACAGTCCAGGCTCAGGGTGCAGTATGTAATTTAGTTATTTTGTGTAGCTGGGCTCTTAAGGGAGGCTGACTACCAAAACGTTTGAGAACTTAGGGTTCTCGTATACCCAAAGGGGTCCTAGGATAATTAAAGTTCCACAGCTCTTATCTTGGTGATAAGAACTGTCTGCAACTCATCAACACAGTGCCTGTATGGCATAAACTGGCAGGACTACATGGTGAGGGGTGCAGCCAGGACTGGTTGCAAGCAGAGGTGGGGAAGTACTCACAGAGTGACTGGGGATGGCAAGGAGGTGGAGGTCAGTGCACAGAAACCAGAGCCAGAGGGGCCCCTGTTTCCAAGAACAGGGCGGGCTCTGAGGCATAAGGAGCAGTGGGAAGCTAAGGCAGACAAAGGCCCACAGCCCAGCTCCCTAGCTGGCCACAGGTGGGGCTCGCTAACTCTGGAGACCTGTGATTCCTTAGCTGGAGTAGGTTTGGTACAGGTGAGGGTCACCTGCCTCATCAAGCCCAGGTGCTGCAATCAGCAGGCAGCAAAGTGCAAAAAGGAAGCAGAGCTGAGGGGTTGTGTCTGCTCAACTACCCATGTTGAGGGACCTCGGCTTGCAAGCCCCAGGATCTCTGTGGGGACTGTGCTTCACTTTGGGTACATGGATTGACTGGGGACTTGACATACTGACTTGCTGCCAGGTAGGCCCAGAAAGTGATTAAATGGCATATTGTTTCCTTGCTTACTCTGTATAGCATTAGCAAACACAGAAATACCCAGAGAACAGTTTCACTAGGTAAAGAGTCCTGACTATTGGGTTCTTTAATGGGAACAGTTGCATTAATATGTGCGCTATGTCTGTGGTTCACTATTGGTGGTCTGCATAATGCACCCGGGGGGCTGTGGCACCATCCACATAACGAAAACTACCATATAGACCCCCCCCCAAAGTAAGGGGTCCATTGCTTGGCTTTTGAAAAGCAGGGCCTCCTCAGTACTTAACTAAATGGGAAACCCTGCTCTATATTGGTGGGCAACTGCTCCTTATTTTGGATCATTAAGAAGTCTCTGGGGTTTGCTTGCAATGTATTTAAACTTACATTGGTTCGTAATTTATTATATGGGAATCACAGCTCTATACATCCATTCTTGAGCCTCCGTTTTGTAACCCACTACAATTCACTTTTGCTCCCTTCAAAGGGCGGTCTAATTCAGTTTGCAACCGAAACCTGCAGCGGACTTTCCATTCCCTATAATCACGTTTGCCAGGATAGCTCCACTTATGAATGCCACACCTCATCGCTTTTCTCCACAGGCCGACGTCATTTTCAAGAGCGTGTGGTGTTAAGCAGGTTTCGCGTGTAGGCTTCTTGCCAGAGGGATTGCAATAAGGAGATGTTCTTCTAATTCCTAATGCAGCGCACATGAAATGCTAAGTTCCTTTCATGTTGAAAAAGTCATTTCCATATCCTTGAGAGAAACAACAAAAAACCTGAAAAGCACTGTCTCTTAGCTTGCATAATATTTTAAAGCATGGGTACGGAACCTTGGGTCTGATGTCTGGATGCAGCCTGTCTAGGCCTCTCTACCTGGCTTCAGGACTGTTGCCAGCCATACACCTTATTCCTGGGCTACACCCCCTGAGCAGCACTGCCTGGCATTCTGGGTGCTTTTTCTGGCTGGAATGTCTCCTTGAACTGTGATAACGTCTCTTGTTCGCCTGAATGGAGTAGAGATAACCTCTTGTGGTGGTAGAACCTCTGACCTGTGTAGGTGGAATACAGTCCACTGCACAGAGGGACCCACCTCTGCAGCTTCCCCACACCCGAGTTTTGAGGGATGGATCCCGGAGAGGATTTGTGAAGCGAGGCATGCAGGTGGCGCTGTGGTCTAAACCAAAGAGCCTCTTGGGCTTGCCGATTAGAAGGTCAAGCTCCTGTTGCTCAGTCCCAGCTCCTACCAACCTAGCAGTTGGACAGCACAACAGCACGAGTAGATAAATAGGTACCACTTCGGCAGGAAGGTAAATGGTGTTTCCATGCACTCTGGCACTTGTCATGGTGTCCCGTTGCGCCAGAAGCGGTTTAGTCATGCTGGCCACATGACCCAGAAAGCTATCTGTGGACAAACACTGGCTCCCTCTGCCTGAAAGTGAGATGAGTGTCACAACCTCATAGTCTCATTTAACTGGACTTAACTGTCCAGGGATACCTTTACTCCTGCTGAAGCTTTGCTTTGCAGTTGGGTGAAGGGAGGAAGAAGCTGGTTTGTCATTTTCTGAGGTGGAAAGATTGGTTTGAGCAATGCTTTCGCATACCTCTGTTTCTAGCCTCTTTGACATGTTGTTTCCTGCTTCAAGAATGAGCTTGGGCAAGCCTTGGAGTTGCATGCTCCCATATCTGCTGCGCACACACCCAGAAGTTGACATATAATGCTGTGGCTTTTTTTTAATTTAAAAAATGGCTAACTAATTTCAGTTCCTCACTGGATCCAATTTTGGGGAACTGTGACCTGTTTAAACCAAGAACTGAAACTGTGATTTGA